GCTGGGGGGGTGTTTCGGCAGCGCTGGGGGGGGGTGTTTCTGTGGGGCGGGCGGCGCTGGGAGGGGGTGTTGTGTTTCGGGGGTGGCTGGGTGGTGCTGGGGGGGGATTCAGTGGCGCTGGGGGGGGGGGGGTCGGGGGGGCCGGGGGGGGGTTGGCCCTCAGCTGTTTTCTTTGGAGTAATATGGCCCTCGCCACTTTACGAGTTGTGCAGGCCTGGTCTACACTAAGTTAGGGGTGTATTGCCCTGCTCAATGTACTCTCATTGAGCTAGCGTGAGTATAAACACCAGTGTAGCCAGATTAGCAGCGGAGGCATGGCTGAGCTGTGCCCAGTACATAGGCCCCGGTTTCAGGTTACATTCTACCTGTTGTGCAAGAAAGAAGTGTCTGTTTTACCGGAATTCAGGGCTAGTCAATAGAAATTGCCCTGTAGAGCAGGAATTTCCCAGGATGATAGAAGGAGATTGAGAATATTTATTCCATGATGCCTTCCATTTTCCCAGTGTTTAACATTCAGGAGGAAATACGCAAAATCCAAAGAGAAGACGACTCTCATTTACCAGAGGAACTGGTCATCCCCTTCTACAATGAAACTCTTCCAGAGAGAAGCTTTTACAGAAAGAACACCAGAGATGAAGAAACATTGATCGAAAGCTTAGAAGAGGAAATCAACACCATTAGGGTCAGCAACCACAATTTATTGATGAGGATGAACAATATCACACTGGCTGCAGGTATCTCTCCACTTCACCTTATCTTTTTGACTGTCATATTTTGTTCAGGTTTCAGAGTAGCAGCCGTGTTAGTCTGTATCCGCAAAAAGAACAGGAGTACTTGTGGCACCTTAGAGACTAACAAATTTATTAGAGCATAAGCTTTTGTTCATAATCTCAAAGCCCGATAGTGCTGTACAAGCAGTACAAGAGTCAAAGCCTTCTTTAAATAGAAAATGCACAATTCAGTGGTCCCTATGGGAAACTCCAGTTTCCTTCTCTAAGGTTGAAGGGGTGGGGGGAGATCCTCAGCTCATGTAAATGGTGTAGCTCCATTAACTTGACTCATTTTATTATGGATGGTCTAGTGGTTAGGGCACTAGCCTTAGGACTCGAGAGACCTGGATTCAGTTCTCTGCTCTGCTACAGCCTTTCTGTGTGATCTTGGGCAAGTCACTTAGCCTCTGTGTGCATCAGTTCCCCATGTGTAAAATGGGGATAACAGTCCTGCCCTGCCTCCCAGGAGTGTTGTGAAGATAAATACGTTAACGATTGCAAAGTGCAGGGCTTTGAAATCTACCGAGGAAAAGCACGATATGAGAGAGAGGCACTGCTATGAAAATATAGTAATACTTAAGGAGCAACCAGGAACAGGGCCCCATTGTATAAACACAGAGTAGTAGACAGTGGCTGCCACAAAAAATGAATGCAGTTATGATGATCTGTACCGGCTGAGGATCTGGCGCTAAGAACATAAGAACGGCCGTACTGGGTCAGACCAAAGGTCCATCTAGCCCAGTATCCTGTCTACCGACAGTGGCCAATGCCAGGTGCCTCAGAGGGAGTGAACCTAACTGGTAACTATCAAGTGATCTCTCTCCTGCCATCCATCTCCACCCTCTGACAAACAGAGTCTAGGGACACCATTCCTTACCCATCCTGGCTAACAGCCATTAATGGCCTTAACCTCCATGAATTTATCCAGAGAATAAGAAGAATTGGATAAGATTGTGCATAGGGTGGAAGTATGGAGCCCAGGCTGGCATATCCCTTCATGGTCCCACTTCGTTGCAGCTAGATTCTATTTCCTGTGCTGGAATGGGTGTGGGCTGCCTGTACCCAGCCCCTCCCCCCCCAGCACACCCACATAATGTTGCTCAGACTTTTTTCAGGCCTCTCTAGGACTTCTAGTCTTCCTGCAGGGAGGGTGACATTTTCAACTCAGAGCTAAATTTGTTAACATACTGTTCAATCAACGATTGAGTGCTGACCGTTTAAAAATGCACATCAAATATCCATTTCAGGGCGACTTGGAATCAAAGGAGAACCTGGTCCTCCAGGTAAGTAAATATTTGAGCAATGAACAGCTTCCCCTCTCTCTCATTCCTCCTCCCTTCCCCTGTTCTGTACAGAATCGGAAGTTAGATTTTGGAGCCCTATTCAATAAGTCATTTGGGCCCCGCTCCTGCAAAGACGTAATTACCCTGCATAATTTTACGCACGTGAATGGTCCCATTGAAGTCAAGCTCCTCCCACACCCTCTTGCATGGCCTGCTGGGAGTCTGGCTTGGGTGCAGAGCGTAGACCCTGTTCTCTGGATACTCCCCATTCTGAGCAAGTGGGTGGGGAGAAGCTGGGAGCTAGTAGAGTCTCAACTCCGTCTCCCCTCCCCGCCGCTGCTCACTAGCCAGGGTAGCTGGGTAGACATGATGGAAGAAGTAAGTTGTATTTTATCAAGAGCTTTATCAGTAACTTACTCCCCCTCTCCTCCCTTCTTGAATCTGGATGGGACCAGGGGAGGAACTGATGGGAACCGGGTGGGAGCCACAGCTGCAGAGTAATTTCACAGCACCTTTTACTCAGGGTTGAGCCTACAGGCTCAATCTAGTCCACAACGAGTAATACAACAGGTCAGTTTTCCTATGTGATTAAGGTGTGATCCTACAAAGTGCTGAGCAGCTCCCACATGGCACTAGGGGCCTCAGCCTTTCATAGGATTGCACCCCAAATTCTGGCACTTGTTCTTGCAGTAGACAAGCTGAATAAGGTCCTCATGCATTTCCCATTGAAGACAATGGAAATACATCTATTGACTTCAGTGGGAGCTGGATTGGGCCCACTGACTTGAGGGGGCGGGGTTTGCACACGCTCAGGATCAAGCCCTAAAATTCCCCAGATGTGAAGATTACTTCTCCTAGATGAATTCACATGGCGTTTTAAGAGATACCCTGCTTCCCTTTTCTAACATTGATTGTCTGTTCCTCAATCTCCCCAAGACTTATACTTCAAACTGGTGTCTAACTAGTGCCTATAACTGCAACCTTTTTTCTTAGCCAAGTTATCTCTGCCTGCCTGAAATGAAGGCTTTATTCTGTTCAATTCAGGTGCCAAGGGGGAGAAAGGAAGTCAAGGTGAAAAGGATTTCAAGTTTTCAAGTGCTTACTCCTCCTGTTGGTTACATGCTGAAATATACACAAGGCCAGATTCTCATTGGATGTAAATTAGCATAATTCAATTGCACTCAATGGAGCTATGTCAGCTTACACCCATCTGAGGATCTGGTCCTAGTTATGGCCAAATCCTGGTCCCATTACAATCAATGGAAATGTTGTTATTCAATTCAGTGAGTCACAGCCTTTAATTTACACTTGTTCATTATGCTGTCAAATCCATCTTCTAGGAGGAAAAGGTGAGAAGGGAGACATGGGTCTACGAGGACCAGCTGGAAGCAAAGGAGAACCAGGGTCAAAGGGTAAGCAAATAACATAAAACTCAGAGAGGGGTGGGGACATATTTAACAATGGAGACAAGCAGAGGAGAACAAAAGTGGATGTATTTGTATTTTAGGTATTGGATTTCCTGGGGAGAAAGGAGAGAAGGGTAAGTTGTGGAAATGAACCCTCCCTTGCATCATCAGAACAAATAGAAATAAAAACACCCTGATTCTCAGACTTCCCATTGGCACTTTGATTTTGGTGCCTAAATATGGATTGAGATACCCAAAGTTCAGCACTTCGGATGTGAACATTTTGGCCACTGTTTTTAAACCTGAAACGGTTTTTAAGCACATGCTTCCCACTGCAAACTCTGAGAATGTGAACGTATCCAGTGGGGCCCCCGGAAAAATGGGCACCCTGCGCACCTGTTCCACCCGCTCAGCGCTCCTGCCAGGGAGTGGGGGAAGCCCCCGCACCCCAACCCTGTTCCCTGGCAGGAGCATGGGGAGTGACGGGGGAGAGGCCACTTGCTCTGGCCCAGGGCTCCACAAAACTGTAATCCACCTCTGAACACATCCCGCACATTGTCCTTTATAACGCCTGTGATATTCCCTGCATTTCACCCCATTCACTTGTAGAAAACAAATAGGTAGGTGTGACGAGCTTCTGTAGCTGCAGGTTTTGTGTGTGTCTTGCAGTTAGTTTACTGGTTTGGGAGCTGTGGTTTCAGTCTTCATAAAAGAATACATGTTAATTTTTTGCCAATTCAATTTCAAGGTAATCCTGGAGAAAAGGGTGCTGGAGGTCTTTCTGGCCCTGGGGGTGCTCAAAAAGGGGAGAAAGGTTCATCTGGAAAGGATGGAACTCCAGGTACTGAGTTACTAACCTTTACAGCCACTGTACAAATGTTATCCTACATAATGCTCAAGCCACATATTTCCTTTGATATTTTAGGGATACCTGGAGGAGTAGGAGCTCCAGGTGCCAAGGGAGACAAGGGAGAAGCAGGTAAGAAAGGATTAGTAGCAGCACCTCCTAAAAAGTAAACGAAGAGCTAAGCAAAGAACTGAATACACAAAGTTTGGTAAAACCAGGACACGCAGCAGCAATCTGAGTGATTTACATGGTGTTTTATGGGTCATAAGTCGTAACTGGAGGGTAACTTAACTTTCTGTCTCAGAGATGACAGTCCTACTGATAGAGCCACACTGATACAACATAATTTGATCAGCCACTGCTCTATAAGATGCACACTAAAATGTGTATGTTGTAATCAACATACGATCCAGTTGTCCTGTGTGTCCTGTTCCTGGAGACCCAGTCTTCAGACCAGATTCTGGTCTCATTTACACTAGGATAAATTGGGAGTAACTCCACTAAAGTGTATGGATTTATTCCCAATTTTTCACTAGTGTAAATGAAATCAGAATGTGGCCTTTCATAAGGACTAAATCCTGGAGCTATTGCACAGCCCAAATGGTACATGCTGGGGAAGGAATTATCCCGCAGGCTGTGCTTTGCACTCACATTTGTAGTCCCATGGTCGCTGCCCTAGTTCTCCATTTAGGACCATGACAAACCATGGATTGAACAGGTTCTCCCTCATCCCTCCCTTCTCCCCAAGGCTCCTCACTGGGGAGCAGAATGCTCATGCACATTAGATGTTCCTGAATGCAGGGAGACTGCTACCCCCCAGCTTGGGGACCCCAAGCCTTTCTGCACTGGTACTGCACTAGTCTCACTAGGTAAGGGCCCCCACAGCCAGTCAGGCAGCAAGTCCGCTCTGCTGCTCCCCCATCTCATCCATCCGTGGTGCTTGTCTATGTTTATGCCAAACAAGCATTTTAAACATCAAGCATCCGTGTCTTCCTTGCTGTGCAGCATGATTTACATCAATGAAGTACAACTTCAGGCCAAATCCTGCAGTTCGCTGCCTATACATTTCAGTGCCTTTTCAGGGAAAAATTCCCACTGACCTCAGTCTTTGAGCCAGGATAGCAAGATTTGGCTCATAGACAGTTGGACCAGTTTCGCAGCTAGTGTAAATCAACATAGCTCCATTTACGTCAGTGGAGTGACTGTGTCCATTTACACCCGCTGAGAATCTGGCCCAATACCGGTGGATTGCATAGGCTCAAAAATATCTGCCTTTCATGTCCATTAATCATTATTATTAATATGTACGTATTGGGATTTCAGGAATAGAAGGACCAAAGGGGACAAGAGGAGACCAAGGAGTCCAAGGTAATGCATTTCCTTCATTGTGTTGCTACTATGGATTTTGCTCTTGGTCACACCTGTGTAAATCAGGAATAACTCCATTGAAGTTAGCAGAAATAAACCCAAGTAAAACCAGTGAATGAGAATAGAATCCAGCGGACAGTACTGAATTTACACAGAGAGGCCCAAATTTGGCCCTCAGTGACAGATATCTATTTCAAAAGTAACTGCATTGGCATCTTCGGAGTCACTCTGGATCTACAACAAGAGCAGAATTTGACTCTTATATTGGTATTGCATTTTGTAGTGTGTGTAATGGGTCTGTCATGGGATGGTCAAAGCAACAAAGCATCAGAAGTTTGGTATTTTTCATCCAGGTTTTAGAGGACCACCGGGTGAAGATGGAAGTGAAGGGGACAGGGGCCTTGCTGGTCCAAAAGGTGAACCAGGAATGAAAGGGGGTAGGGGGCCTACAGGTAAGACAATTTGCTTATTTTTACCTATGCAATTTTAATAATTTCACATGCCTTCCTAGTTAAGTCTTTTCCATTTACAGTGTAAAATGTATTATTACTCTGAGTTGTTTCCACAAAGATTCAGATATCTCTGACCATGGGGTTCCAGTCTATAAAGGGATTGGATGAATGAGGTTATTTGCCTTATTTGTGGGGTACCATTTTGTTTCTTGCTATGCCAGTGCACCAACGAGGGTGGTCCTCCAGAAATGCTGACTCATTACTCTGAGCTTTTATATTCTCTTTTGGGGATATGTACGTGTAATGAAAGAAGCAGGTATTAAATTATCAGCACATCCCTGATTATAGCAGTGGTGTTTACAGAAGGATTTATATGGTATAAACGAATACAATACAATTTAAATGCACAATCATGTGCAGGTTTGGTTGGTTAGAGTGATAGAAAAGCCTGCTTCTGAGTGGTTTAAATCCCATATAAGCTAGAGTTTTGTGTAAGTTAAACAGAAGAATTAGGCAGTGTTTCTCGCCTGTGTAACTTGCATTACATTGGTATTCATCAGCCACGTCTGAGATGTGGACAGGGAGAATGAGCCGAAAACAGGGTAGAGAGTGGAAACTAATGGAAGTGGTACATATGAGCGGAGAATGATGATTATACACAGAACATTTGGAAATGTAGCATTGCTGCTCGGCTGGTGTACATCAGTAGGGTTCCATTTATTTAACAGAATTCCACTGATTTGCACCAGCTGAGGGTCTGGCTCAGAAATGGCAAAACGGATCTTAAACAATTCAAGGAATCTCGGGAAAATGCTGGAACAGAACAGGGAAGGAGGGGATTGCAATCACTTCCGAAATATTTTGTTGCATTCTTTTGTATTGTATCATAAGTATCTTGATTACCAACTGAAAATGTCAGATCTAGAAATGCAGACCCAGGGCCAGATGCTGATGCTGTTAGAGCCAATGGGAGAGAGAGAGACAGATTTGACTCCAACCCTTTGATTCACACACATTCATTGTATTGTTAAATAGGTCTTCAAGGAAGTAAAGGTGAAGTGGGTAAGAAGGGAGAGATGGGCCCCAAAGGATCAATTGGTGTTCCTGGAAACAAGGGAGATGCAGGTTAGTCAGGTTAAATGGTAAGTTAATAAGGCAGAAAGCCAAATCTGGCAGGGGGCTGGTGGAGGAGAGGGGAGATGCCATGTTTAATGATTTGTACAAATATCACTAATGCTAACACCAATATTGTATTGTAGGTAGAGTGGGTGCACCAGGGCTTCCAGGACAGAAAGGAGAGGCAGGTAAGCCAGTCAAAAAGAAAAGTTTCTCATATTGGTATGACACTGATCTCCCTTAAAGGTGCATTTCATTAAAAAAGGGCAGGTCCACAGCTGGTGTAAATCGGCTCTAACTTAATCGAGGTCAATTAACAGCCGTAGTGGATTGGCCTGAAAGTCCAATTTAAAAGAAAATCAAACCCACCATCATTGTAACTGAGAAATGTCCATTTGTCCCAATTACCTAGGAAGAGTATTATAAACACAACATCTGCTCTCCCTCCAATCCCGCAGCAAGCTACAGATTCAAGGCCTGTTGTCTCGCATACACCACTGGACTTGAAGAGTAATTCCACTGAACTCAGTCGAGTTACACTGGTGTAAAACTGCTGTAAATGGGTGTGAGTGAAAGGAGAAGTAGGATCTTTTGTTCTACATTTTTCATAGATTTTTAAAATCAGGAGAGCCCATTACGACCATCTTGTCTGACCTCCTGCATATCATAGGCAATCACAGTCCAGGGCAACTGCACCTCTGTTTCCCCTCGATGGTTCGGCAAAGGCATCCACTCTCTGGCTTCCCGTTCCCCAGGCATTGCCTTTCTGGGTGGAGACCATCTGACTCGGGTATTCCCAGGCTGCACACTTCCTTGCCTTCACTGTGTATTTCCCAGCACAGATAGATTGACCAAGGACACCTGCTTGCTTTTTCTTCAGAGACTGATAACAGAATGATTGTTGATAGTTATAAGTTACCACACAGCACTTTATTCTTAAGGGATAACGCATTGCAGAGAAAACACATTAAAACAATAAAAGAACCAACGTGCATGCTAATAAATTTAACAGAATTAACCCCAACCCTAACCTGGATTCTGCAGGGCCAGTCCTTCCAACCCTACCCGAAAGATTGGGGCCTACTGTGGATTAGGGTCCAGTCCATTTGCTGGATCAGGAAAAAGGCCATGCGCCAGTTTAAAACTAGGCTATTTATTCAAAAATCCTTCCTTTGTTGGTCAGTCCCTGGAGAATCTAGGTTGAATTAGTATATGTATCTCTCCCGGGGTGGGGGGGTTTCTTTACAACCTGAGTGAATTTGTGTAATTACCCCCAGCTGTATGAAAATACATACAATTCCACAATAACACATGCACCACTGCATTTTTAATACAAGAAATTCAAAGATTTTAAAACTAATTCAATAAGGTTTAACTTCATTCAATAAAATTCATTTACGATATTGCAGGAAATTGTCAGTCTGTTACACGGGTCCCAGAATTTCACCCAGTAAGTCCCTTTCTAATCCTCTAAGGCCTGGTTCGCCATTGTATTACTCCACTTTCACACCAGTTTCACTCCATTGAGGCAACACCAGTGTCAAACTGGAATAATGCAGTGGTGAATCAGGCCCCTTTTGTCTAATTGTAAATTCGTATGGTGTCTCTCCTGCTTCATGGCCTGACTCATCATGGCATTTAGATATGTAGATACTGATGCTGAGTATCCTGCTAGCAACAGTTTCACACTATAGTAGCTCCATGGAGTTGCTCCTGATTTAGCTCAGTGTAAATGAAAGGCCAATCTGTCCCATAGTACCCTGGAAAAATTGCAACACAGGTAAATGCTTTCTGCTATGAACATTTCCCCTGCAGGTGCATATGGATGGAGTGTTCTTTACCCCTATGGAAAAGTCTTCATAGACGCTGCTATCCTTTCTCTGGGCTTTGTGAACTATCCTACAGAATTATATCCCTTCTCTAAAATTCTATGGGATGACTTAGAAAGTCTATAGAAAAGATCTTCTTTTCTGTTAACATCTATAGATTTTTAGAGCAATTTATATAGAATCCTATTAAATTTCCATAGAGCCCTAATTTATTTGTGTGAGAGTTTACAGGGCCATATTCTGTGTGTACAGGGCCATATTCTCCTTTTGGCTCTATACACATCACTCCCATTGAAGTCAATGTGACCCATGTGTATGCATCCCAGGGCAGAATTTGACCTAAATTTTGGAAAGTGCTTTGGGATCCTTCAGACTGAAATGCTGTATGGACCTGATTCTCCACTGCCTTTCACTTTGTATGCTCATTTCCACACTGCAAAGTTGGTTATAAAATGATACCACTGGTGAAAGCGAGTGGAGGATTCCAACGTGGAAGCAGTTTACACCCACTTTGCTCTCACTCTGCACAGGAATAGATGACTACACAAGGTGTGGGGCAGTAGAGGATCAGCCCCTGGAGAAATGTTATGTTACTTTGGTTCCTTTATCCTTTATAGTTCTTTGTACTTCACTTTTGTTGTTGTTCAACTTTAAGGTCTGAATGGAGAAGTTGGTGCTCTGGGACTTCCTGGTTTAAATGGCATGCCTGGTCAGAGAGGGGAGAAGGGTACATAGCTACCAGCATTTTTAATTTAGTAAAATAATATCCTACTAGGTATTTTTTACCCATGCACCCTTTTTAAAAAAAAAAAACATCAGGAATCCCAGGAGAGAGGGGACCTAAAGGTGCAAAGGGACAGAGTGGAGTAGCAGGTAAAGGAAAACAAGACAAGTTCAGCATCAGCAACGCAAGTTATTCGAATAGGGGGATGCACGGGAATGAATGACCAGCTCAAGCCAGGAGGCAGTATGCTCAATCCCATGCATGACGGCATACTCATGGAGTATGGACCTACAGTAGTGGACATGGAGCTCTGCCAGGCTGCCATGGCAGGATACTTATGTAGCTGTGCCAAGGGTCCATAGAGGCACCTTTTGATATAACTTAAAAACATAAAGTGCAGCAGGTTAAGATAACCCACCCCAATCTCCTTTTGTTGACATTAATGGAGCTACTGTGACTTACCCCAGCTGTGTATCTGGCACATAGGGTCAATTTAGGTATGTTAGCAGTGAAAGGTCCACTTATCCTATAAGACTTGGATCTGAAAACCCAATCTTCCTAGGTTAATAAATTCTTATTTTAATATATTGTACATGCCTTATCCACTTCATTAACCATTAGCTGGAGAACCAACGTGCCTTCCCATCTGCATTAATTGAAAAGTTGACTATAAATGTAAGCTTGAGGAAGCTTAAAAGTGTGAAAATATCTATTTGACTTATTTATTTTGGTTTTGATGACTTTAGGCATTCCAGGACCAAAGGGAGAACAGGGAGATTCAGGTAAAGCACTTGCTGTATTAAATTATGCAAATAGATGATTACACAATTGGGTACTTTACGTGGAATGTTTCACTGACTTTTGAAGGTGATTGCATGTAATACTTGTCATGCTCTTTTCTTCAGAAATTGACAAAGGCATCAGCTCTCTGATATTTTCCACCTAGGGTTTAGAGGCCAACATGGAGAAAGTAGTGGGCATTTTGGCATTCAAGGTCCAAAAGGTGAACCAGGAATGAAAGGATCCAAAGGAGACATGGGACCTAGAGGTAAGACTATCTATCAAGGTTTCTGATGATTAGCTGGTATGTTTTGCATTGGGTGTGTGTTATAAAGTTGCAGTAGTTGTTCCCTGGTTAAGCTTGCTGCTAGCTTTCCATTATAAACCTGATTTTCAACCCCACCACCAAGTTCCCACACAAAGAAACCAATCTTCCTGAAATTTTGGATGCTACCTCATAGTATCATCTTTCTGGAAACTTTGGTAAAAATTATGCAAAAGGTTTTAAAGTCATGAGGCCAGATTCTCTGGTCCAGCCACCTTCATGTCCCCCTGGTTGTCAGTGCAGTTCATTTCTGTTCCCTTGTATCATTTCAGCAGAGACACCTTGCAATGCACCTCTCCTCTGTAACTTATATGAAATTAAGAATTCAACAACATCTATTTATCTGCATGCAACGAGGAGTGAACATAAAGGGATGTAATTGTAATAAGGAAAGGGAAAGATTGACTGACTGGAAGAAACATTTCAAAAGTGCTCAGTAAAGTTAGGTGTCCTCATGAGACTGGCCCGTAGACACCCATAACTTGGAGGACCAGCAATTGTACCAGCATTGCAGTGGTAGTATTTTGGCAATAATGCCCAGTTCTTGAACAATTCCTGTGTGACTCTGTATGAGAGACAAACACATTTTTTCTTTTAATGTCACTCATCTGTCATCTTGTTTCATAAATTTGCCTTTTGAACAAGTGCATTTCAGTGCAGCCATTACAGGGAAAATTTCATTCGCTGCTTGCATCTGAGTTGAGATATTTCTTTCGGATGCTACATTAAGGCAGTGATGCAGCATGGGATTCTGTGCCAAATGTCTGTCTTTCTTTGTTTCCTTCTTTCTTTCTAGATTCTAACTGGCCCCTGCAACATAAGGGGATGTGACCCCCTGCTTACCTTTCCCAGATCATAACTCTGTATACAGGGGAAGAGGGAGGAAGCAATGGGCAGGGAGGGTAGGTGGGCAGGTAATGAGTGGAGATCAGGGACTTGATAGGGCCCTGGTTCCAAACCCCAGGCAGCCAGCAGAGCTGGCCCAAAAAAGGGGGAATACCCTGCACCCTGTGAAGTAAATGACTCCCACAACCCAAGGAGCAAAGGGGAAGCCTGAGGAGGAGAGTCAGTTCCTCCCTGGGCTGTTTCTGAGGTAGTCCAGCTACACTATTACTTTACACAGGGCAAGATGTAAAGGCTCAGTCCAGCCCTTCTTTATTCTGGTGGTTCCAGCACCAGTGCAGCTACTAATGTTGGAGCCTTCTTTTTATCAATAACTCACGCTTTGCACAGGACTGAAATATATTTTCCTCCTTGTGTGACGCTCCAAGGTCCCCAGTTGCCCCAAAGTGGCCGAGACAGCAGCTTACGTGGCCCAGAAGTAACAACACAGAACATCAACATGAGCAGATGTCTCACTATAGGGCTATCACTCCACTTCACTGTGACACTAACCAGTCCCTGCCCACTACCACTCAGAGACGGTGGCTGCATCTTTGCCGATGAACTAGATATAAAGTGGCCCCATCCAGCCAGCTTTACACCTGCAAAACTCCCACTGAGCTCAAATTGATTTGGCTCCAATCAGAACAGTGAGACTGGATCGTACGTTAAGAATTGATTTCTGAATTCACTCCTGGCACGTATTTGAAATCTGCTTTAGGCCACACCTGACTCAGATGCCAATATGCAGCCAGGTAGTTTTGGATTTCTCCTGCATCTAACTCTGGTTAATGATGCAGAAAACACACCTACCAGATTACAAAATAGGTTGTGTATGTCCATTTATATATTTATCCTTTTTTAAAAGGAAGAGTTGTATATTTAGTGCTTTTAGCAAAAGAAAAAGGATGGGAAGATTTTTTTTTTTTTTTTTTAAGTCCATTTGGGATTCCTTTGTGCATTCCAACTAAATTACCCTTTAAGAGGGCCCAAGTGGCATTGTGGTGTCAAAAGACCCAGCTCCTATTCCTGACTCTGCCACTAACTTCTTGTTTGACTTTGGATAAAAGTCACTTAGACCCAGATCCTCAAAGGTATTTAGATGCCTAATTCCCACCTTTCAATGGGAGTTAGGTGCCTAAACACATTTGAGGATCTGGACCTTTCCCTCTCTTTGCCTCAGTTTCCCCATCTATAAAAGGAAGGTGGTAATCCTTTATTCGTGTAGGTTTTTTTTTTTAATGAAGTCATTGAGGTCCTTAAAGCATTTTGCAATCTTTGGATGGAAGGCACTATACAAGTGCAAATAATTATGAACGTTTATTGTTATTGTTGGGGTTTTTTAAATTGTAATATAGTAGTGGCTGGAGATGTGAACTGAGATTGCGGCCCCATTGTGTGAGGCTCTGTGCAAACACATAGTGCGAGACAGCGCCTGACAGCAAAGAGCTGGTCAAATGAATTGCTGTAGGCCATTTGACCATAAAATAGAGAAAGGGACTTTTCTATTTTGAAAAGCACATAAGCAGCTGGAGGTTGTTTGTAAATGTATTTTTAAAAAACATTTTTAAAATGTCTTCTCTGGAGCTGTTTTTTTAACATTTAAAATACGTATTATATGAATGACAGCACCAGTAAAATACTGTCCACTTAATATAGCTGGATTCTGCACACTGATGTCTATACACCATCACAGGACCTTTTCACCAGTGTTATGCATTGCGAATACTCTGCAGTTCATAATACTTCTGCTGCTTTTAACATGCTGCTATCATGAGTTCCAAAGCTGTCCCAGGGGCTTAACCGCATCAGGGGTTTAATTCCAGGAGTACATTTCAAATTCTAACTGTGCGAGGGGGCTGGAGTTTTGTTTGAACATTTGCATGCATCCTCGATCAACACAAGTATAAGACATAATGGTAATCATTATACTTTACCTTGAAAGTGTGTCTAATGATTGCTTTTTTTAATTTGGAACAGGACTTCCAGGGAACAAAGGTGACAGGGGTGAACCAGGTACTAGACCTTTCTCATCTCCATAGCTTGCCCTGTAACACCAGTACAATATAGAACCCAGTGTGTACCCAGGACACATGCTTAACTTTGACCATTTGCATAGTCCCAATGATGTCAACAGAACCTCCCACATGCATAAAGTGAAGCAAGTGTTTAAGAGCTTGCAGGATCAGGGCTGTCAGTGACGCTTCTGGAGTAACTGCACCTCTGAGCCCTTCCGGGTCTGCTCAAGGAGGCCTTTCACCATCACCAATCTCTGGGCAGGGATCTGCATCAGTCTTCCTGCTGAGCAGGGTTGTTCGGTTGCAACCCACCTCCCTGCAATGCCCTTGCTTATCCCAGCAGGTCTGACTAGTGTCCAGCTTCTGTGCTTTGTTTTCTCTCCAAGGGCTATGAACAGCATGTGCCAGTGGTTACGGGTAACCAACAGCTCTCTCAGAGCCGTACAGAAACAACGTATAAAACAATAAAAGGTCTAAATGCATAATTAAGCTTACCAGTGGTCCCCCGTGACATCCCGGCGTGTTCCAGTCCTTCCATGGGGTTTGATACGGCGCCCCCTTTTTGGACAAATGGTCAAGCCCATTTGTTGCCTCAGAATAAAAGCCTGTCTCTTTATACCCCAGTCTCCTGGGTCTCTTGAACACAGTCTGAACCAGTATATGCAAACCACCACAGAGAGTGGTACTTCTCTGGAACTGTTTACTGGTCCCAGGGACTGCAGTAATCACACTCCACTGTTTTTAGTTCCTGGAGGAGCTGCAGTAACCCTCCCCATTGAAGTAGAATACAATCCCGAGCCCACAATAATGCATATAGCCTGTACGAATAACAGGCCTAAAATTGATTCAGTAGTCTCAAGCTATGCCTGTGTTCATCATATCTACCACAGGGTCCTGAACTGATCTGATTTTTGCTACAACAACAACCTGTTTCCATGTAGCCATGTTCATTTAGGTGTGGCCATTCATTGTGTTATTGGGTTTAACACTTTATTCTTCTGTCATTTTTTCTTATGCAAACGTCTTATTTTCCTTGTGCATAATTGCTGCAATTATTTCATAACCACATAATCCATCAGCGGAACGCAACTCCAACCCCAAGATAAGGCTCGTTGGAACAGCTAAGGAGGGCCGTGTCGAAATTATGTACAAAGGGAAGTGGGGAACAATATGTGATGATAAATGGGACAAAAAAGATGGAACCGTGGTCTGCAAAATGCTGGGATATAGTCATGCACTTCGCACCATGAAGGCATCCCCAGGTAAGTTAATAACTAATCCCCCAAATCACCAATTACATTCCCGATCCCAAATTGTGATCTGTGATTTTATATAGTGTGGCTGGTGTTCAGTGCAAGATTCAACCTTTACAGGAACAGTATTCATGGCCTCCTGGCACCCAAGCTACTTACAGCCAGGTATTGAGATACAGAGCTGGAATTTTTTCAGTCCAGGGTGCCACACTTGTTTGGTGCCGCTCTTGTTGCACGGGATTTTTGCTCTTCACAGTAGGAAGTCCTAAAATTCTTTCCAAGTTCAGGATCACAGTCTAAGGTGGTACAAAATATATGGTTTCTTGATGGTGAATAGTGAGATACTTGCATTCACATGTGAGCTGCGTGGGCTTTCCAGACATGCCGCCTCAGAGGATAACTCTAGAATTTCCATTTGTCCCTTTTATTCCCTGCTATTTCTATTTCCCGATTGTCAAAATACCCACCCACCCCACTGGCCTCCGAAAGAGAAATTATGCTGGTCCAGACCAGAGGCAACCCATCCCTGCCGATGGCGGGGGGCGGAGTCAGGGCAGCTGGCTTCAGCAGTGTTACTGAGCATGCTCAGTCCGTATGAGCATGCTCAGTATAAGCCAAGCAGCGAATCTGGGGATGACCCTGCCCCCACGTGTCCCCACTGGTCCAGACCCTGCCACTCTTACCGAGACAAAACTCCTACTGAAGCGAATGGGTGTTCTGCTAAAGCAAAGAGGGCAGTATCATAACCTATAGAATAATTACCCAATCAAGGTACTTACAGAACAGTGGAATGGAAGTGTTCTGGGACAACTGGGCACAAGCCATTCAGATACATGGATGGTCAACAGAAGCAAAGTTTTTAGAGATTTCTGTGTTAAATAGGATTGCTGGGATTAGTGCACATATCCCTGATTGGAGACGATCACTGGGGTGAACCATTATAATTAAAATGAATTCTATCCTCCACCCACCCTCAAGTTTTACCCACAACCTGAACTCACTCAATTTTTCCAAAGTTCACAAAAGTTCACTTAATATTGTTTCCTCTCGGATCTCTCATTTTCATGTGCCCCTGCACTTCTTACTTCTAGCCAAAGCTGGAAGCAGAAGTGCCACAATAGTACTAGAAAGTCTGTTCTTGCAAAATTTCCAGCTCAGTTTTGCAGACCCAAAGAGTAGAGACTGTTTGGATGAAACCACCTAACCTAAATCTCTGCACTGTCTTAGCTATGCCCTATATTAGTGGCAAGTGTAATTCTCTGCAGCAGGGTACCCAAAGGCCTCTTAAGTAAGTGTTATCCCTTCCATTTGGAAGGGACTATGGGCAATATGTGCAGCAAAGTGCATGAGATTCAAGCTGAGAGACAACCTCCAACATGTCAGGTGACAACTTTGATTGCAATCCGGCCAGCTCCTTCCCCTCCTGTGTTTTGTTTCAGGAATTCATTATGTATTCCCTAGGGGGAGGGGGACTTGTGCTGTTTTTCACTGGTAACAAAAGACAGGATTGTGACCTGCTCTTACCAGGACACACACGGTGGTAAAGGTGCATCAGGGGAGGCTTCTTCTTCACTCCGCACTGTGAGCCAGAATGGATGTAACCTGTACAAAGAGTCCTTTCCTTCCATCTGAGTTAGCTGCACTGCAGGTCACTGACCGGGGCAGCTCCAGGCACCAGTGCAGCAAGCGCGTGCCTGGGGCAGCAAGCCGCGGGAGGCGGCCGGCTGGTCGCTGTGAGGGCGGCAGGCTGGCGGCTTTCGGCGGCATGCCTGTAGGAGGTCCGCCGGTCCCGTGGATTTGGCGGCAATTCGGCTGCGGGTACGCCGAAGCCACGGGACTGGCGGACCTTCCGCAGGCATGCCACCGAATCGGCATGACCAGCGGACCTCCCGCAGGCGCGCTGCCAAAAGCCGCCTGACTGCCGTGCTTGGGGCAGCAAAACACATAGAGCCGCCCCTGGTCACTGAGCACTGGGAAGAGCAGCCTTTGCAGGCCCACTGTTCCCATTCGCCTGCAGATGGGTGGAGGGAGGGCCGGGAATAGGTGAAGTTTTGACTCCACCCCCCAGTGCGCCAGCCCACAATGCCAAGCTGGTGTGAGAGGGGAAGTCATCTGCACCCATTAAAAGGCTGCAATAAGTTACTTTCTCTTGGGAGCCATGGCAACGCAGGGAGGAGAAATGTGACTCGGTCACAGTTCCTTCCCAGGCCTCCTCGTGGGGTGACCCAGGTACCCGCTCCTGACATAGAGCTGTGCCTTAAGGCTCAGTCTAGCCCTAAGGGAAGTGTGAAACCTAAAGAATATCTTCTTTGTGATTCACATTACAGATTTCTTTGGGTGACTGTATATTTGTTTCCCATGCCGTACAGTGACTTATTTTACTTTTAATTTTTTTTATTTTTAACCACACCCCCCCAAAAAAGGTTCTGATCAAATTTGGCTTGATGACGTGGAGTGCAGTGGAACAGAAGCCTCCATTTTTGACTGTGAAAAACGCGACTGGGGGCAGCATGACTGCACCCACGTGGAAGATGCTGGTGTGGAATGTGCCTAAGACGGTGTAGAAATGGGCATGATACACTGCTGTCTGGCACAAGATGTCTTAATTCCATAAGTTCCAACAGCCTGTGCTGCTGTTGTCCGTGACTGGGACTTGCTTCTTTGTTTCTGTGTTTGTAAAACTGTTGGTTTCTTTACCTATTTTAAAAATATGCATTAATGAGGCAAGTAATTTTTCCTTAAATCTTTAATAACCAGTAAGGCCAAAAGTAAACCAGGAAATCCAGTTGCCACAAAACAATGAAATACCCAAGTCATTCAAACACTCGTAAATCTTCGGGTAACCTGGCCAGTCTGGTATCCAGCAATCATGTACTCTACACAGAGTGGAAGGACAGTGGAAGTTAAAGCCATAGGAGTAAGAGACCTATGTCCTGCACTCTTCCTAGCTCTTCCCTGGACCTCCTTCATGACCATGGCCAAGTCACTAAGGCCCAGATCCTTAAAGGTGAGGAGTTAGGCACATGAAAATCTTTGAGGATCTGGGCCTTAACCTCTCTGTTTCTCGGTTTCACAGTCTCCCAATCTATTAAATGGAGGTAATGATACTTACCTCTCAGGAGTATTATGAAGACTGATTCACATTCAAAAGTCCTTTTAGATCCTCAGACATAAGGCTCTATGGAAGTATAGATATATATACAAATATAAAGCAGGAGCATGCATTAGCCACAGTAATATTCTGACAGGAAGTCAGCTTGCAGAGTTAACTGTCCTATATGTAGATACATAATGGCTTCCATTCTTTACTGTCTGTTATACAGAACCATGTCTGATACATTGATGTTTATTTGTACTGAGCACTTTCTTTCTTTTTAAGGATCCACAACACACCCCTGCACCATACATTTACATACGTAATGTGGGGGATGAACAATAGCACATACAGAGCTGTGTACAATATATCTTGCTTACAGGAATGTTACTTTAAAATAAAAAATAAGTTTACCAAAACCCCTTTTCCTATGCTTTGATATTATTGTGCAACCCTGGCTACATTTTTTTCCTTAGTTGACTGTGGAATTTTCTTCTCTGAAATAATACAGCGTCACATACGAAGTGAAATGTGTCTGGGCCATGCCACGAAGTTTAAGGACTGGTCCACACTACATGATTAGGCAGTTTACATGGACCCAGTTATGCCAGTGTCTACACTACAGCATTCCTCTCACCAGTGGAAGTGCCCTACTACACCGACATCATAAATCCCCCTCCACAAGAGGCATAAGGCTTATGTCAGTGTAGTTAAGGTGATGTGGAGTTGTGAAATTGACAAGGAAGCTGGAGAGCTGGGTGGCTAGACCCTGCTCCCGGCTGGGAGCCGGGCAAGAAGCCCAGGTGGCCTCCCCTCCCAGCTCCGGATGGGGAATGGGTTGGGGAGGAGCCCTCCAGGAGCCTGTGGGGTAGCCGGACTCCCAGCAGGGAGTTGCCAGCAGAGCTTAGAGACCAGGCTCTCAGCTCCCCACACTGCCCCTCTTAGGTCGGTGGAAGCGCTCCTAGTGAGGACGCACACCATTGACCCAAGGAGAGTAGTGTGGACATGCACCACCTCAGTAATTACTGCAGTGGCTGCAAGTTGACCTAATATAGGTTGACTTACGTTTCTAGTGTAGGCATCCCCTGAGAGAGATCACATCACAGAGGAGGAGTGGTTTCTGAGGCAAGGGGGAGTTGGTCCCGTGAACTCATGTAATAAGATTCTCTGGACCCTGATTCTTGAGCAGGCTCAAGCATCACCGGTAAGTGATCAGAATACACAACTCATTTCAAACTCAGAGTAGATAACTGGAGAGAGGGATGAGCCTTATGAAGAGAAGGAAATCTGCTAATGTTTTCCAGTCTCTACTCTGGTTCCTTTCTCTTTAGTGTTGACTGATAGATCCAGTTTCCTTTCTCAGATCAGATTTAGTGGAGGCAAGGCACATGCATCATCAAAAACAGGAGGCTGAAACCTCATCAGCAACAAGCATTTTTAAAACTTGCGCTAGAAGCAGTGGACCATCCAAATGTGGCGCATCTCCCATAAATTAAGGGAGTTGGCCTGTCTCAACAGTGTGGTGAATAATGCTCCTTGGACTAAAGTAGTTCCTCATAGGGCTTCCGTTGGCAATCAGTGAATCTGTATTGTGTGATATTAATTCATCCATCATTTTGTAATAGCAAGCCACATGGATCAAGCCTCCCTCACTCTCTGCAATGAAGGGACTTACAAACAGTATCGGTGGCTTGCTGCCTTGGCCGATACCTCCTTGTCCTTGCACTTTCTGATTTTGTTAATGGGACATGGGAGAGGGAGGTTCATCAAAATGATCAGGCCAGATCCTGAGACCCTCACTCCATTTTTACTCAGGCCAATTCCCACTGAAGGCACAGGCTCAGTGCACCTCCTGAAGGAATGGCTCTTAGGGCCCTGGCTGGAGTTTAAAGTTCCTTCTCCAAAGGCTGAATTCTCATTCAGGAGATTCCACAGAGCAAGGCCAGAAGGCAGCATTGTGATTGTCTAGTCTGACCTTCTGTAGAACAAGGGCCATAGGGATTTCCTGTATTAAGGTCGGTATCTGGGCTTTGGGACTGCGCTCATCACCATTGTATCTGAGAGGTGTACACATTTGTAAAGCTCTTCAGTTTCTGCCGTTAGCAGGGCATACAGCTTTCCACGTAGGCCCAGACCTCAGTACACGTTTACATGTGTCGTACCTGCTTTGTGTTGGGTACGTGAGGTAGCAGTCAAATGCTGTGCCAAAAAATAGGGTTAAAACTTTATCTTCAAGGCATAAGCTTATGGTCTTCAAAGAAGGTCACACAATTAGTAGTTCTGACTGTTTATATAGCACCAATATTGTGCTAGTGGATGCTTCAGAGAAAACTATGGATACAAGGTCTCTGCCCCTGAAAGCTCAGCAGAGATGGGGTGAGAGGCGTAACAAAATCAAAATGATAAAATGATGAACCCCGCCTTTGTCAAAATGCAGCAGTTATTTATTGACGGGCATATGTGATTGAATGATGGTATCCAGCATGAGCTTAACAAACAAAGGCAAGCTGGCAAAAACTCCCCTGCCCCAGAAGAGAGGGTGATTTCTAATCAAACATTTAGTTCTTGCTTTTCCCACGTGCTCATCTAATTTTTGTTTCTGCTCCTGCAGTTAGTTCTTGTTTTCGCCCCATCAGAACTCAATCTTTAAAAGTTAAGGAAATGTTCAGATCTGGACTTCCCAGTTCATAAAATGTGTTATGCAGATTTCAACCCAAGTTCCCGTCTTTATGCACGATGCCTCTCTCCTCAGCCTTTTGAAAAGCTGACACTGATCGGTTTCATATCCCACTTAAAGTTTTGCTGGGAAGCCTTTTTGCCTCTAAATTCCAGGTGGCAAATAAACTTTTAAAGGGGAAAAGGTCATGTTACTTAGTGGGACCCATGTTTAGAATAATATAATTACTGCCTTTGTCTATCAAGACTGGAAAATAACCATCTCTACTTTCAAGACTTCACCCTGCTTTCTGCACCCTGCCACTTGGTTGGGTATATGGCAGGTTGCGTTACTCATTGTGACTAACATTTGTTGAAGCTCTAGTTCTTTTTTCTACTCTCAGATTGTTCATGAACCAACCCTTATTTCTATGAATGTCTTACTTAATTGTAAGTAAATGCCTAGTAGTTTATGGGAACAAATTTCAGCCTATGGGTATCAACCTCTATTATTGGCTGTGGTTCTTGATCTGCGTCACAATGCATTATTTCTTCTCCCCAGTTGAATGTTTAAACAAGAAAATAACAAGTGACTAATAACAGCAGACAGTGAATAGTTCACTTTGGTCTGAATCTTTAGATTAATCATCCCCAGGCTAAAATATGCAAAACATTCAGGATTTTCAAACTTTTTCACAGCTATACAACAGCCTTCCAAATACTCACAAACACTGTCTATGACCCCATAAGTTAACTGTAAACTGAATTCTTGACTTCCATTGCCCAAAACATTTGCAAATCCATTATCATATTAGTCACCCAGCTCTAGTTGAGTAAGAACCCCATATAAAATGTGGGCATCCTCTCAGGATGTCCAACCACCACATTTGGATGAGTTAAGTGGCCATCTCTGTGTCTCCGTGATAAGTTCAGCCTCCCAGTGCAGAATATGGACCTCCTACTAAGTCTCCCACATTTGAAAACTAGGCTCACTGTGTTGAAATTCAATCACAGTTGCTTATAATGTCCTTGTGTCAAGGTGGTCTGTTGCTTCAAGAAGAATTAGGCAAAGGTGTGGCAAATTGGCAAATAAGTAGTACCCGAGAGAAGGAAACTGATAAAAACAGGAACTTCAAAGGAGAGAACTAGATGATCATGATGGTCACTTCTGACCTTAAAGTGTATAAGACGCTAACTATTTGAAAAGGGGAAGCAACAGCCAGTGCTGGCCAGGACACAGATCAACCTTGGAAATAACGTCAGTTGTAACTTTGTTTTGGAACTTCATTAACCTAACACTTCTTAAAGTGGGAGTCCACCCTGGCATGGTCCCAGTGCAGCCAAAGAAAGCTCTTCTTGATCCCAAGTTAACTTTTTGCAATTGTTTCTATTTTACTCACAAGAGAACATTACAATTATGCTATGGCTACATTAGAGAGCTCTCCCGTCAACTTAATTAATCCACCCCAAATGAGCAGCGGTGGCTTTCCACACCAGCGCTTACTTCGGTGTAATTCACGTCACTCGGGGGGGAGGGTGGCTCATTCACAGCCCTGAGCGACATCAGTTATGCCAACCTAAGCTGTAGTGGAGACAGAGCCAAAATGTAACTGTTGGAGAGCTCCGTGCGCATTAACATCATGGTCACATGGCTGACATGCACACGAAGTGCCCCACACTGCCTTTTTCTTACCAGAGCTGCCATTCAGTTAATATGACACGTCTGATTACACATGAACTTTGTTTAAGGCCTTGTCTGCACTGGAAAGTTTTGCTGCTTTAACTAGGCTGTTAAAGTTACAGCA